AAAAAAAAAAAAAAAAAAAAAAAAAAAAAAGGTGGCTTGTAGGGCAGGAAAGAGCAGATGTGCTCATGCAAGGGCAGGAGAAACGGTGACAGCTGACAACTCATGGCTAGAAACAAAGGTCCCAGGGCATTTTCTGCATCAGGCCCCTCTGCCCCCTGCTCTCTCTGGGGACTCCTGAGGCCTCACTTGCTCTTTGACAAGCACACAGCACTGTGCAACCCCAACCCTGTATGCCCTGCCTGCATTCACAGTGAACCTCAACTCCACCAGTCACAGTGTTTGCTGATCTGTGCATACACTGGGGCTGACCACTTCTACTTCATGTCAAAGAAGAAAATGACTTTTCTTTGTTCCTAAACAGCAGCCACTTTCAACTCCTCGCCAGGATTCAGAGCAGTCAGAACCATGACATTCTCGCTGAAGCCAATCCATTAAAGGTCCTGCAACAAACAATTCTAAAATCCTTCCCGTCACAATGCTTGCCTTGGTTCACACCCCTTCTGAAACAGTTTTGGGCACTTATTTCCCAAGAAGAGTTCTTCCATGTGAGCTAACATCCCCTTGGTTGGTTGTAACCCACTCGGTTGGAAATAATTCACTTCCAAAGAGCTGCTAACCACCACAGAGGATTTCCAAATGAAATCCCACTGCACAGAAATACCTTCACTAAAACTGTCCCCAATCCTTCTGCTGGTGAAAAATACTTTCAAACGAACAGGTGTCACCCGTAGCTCCCAGAGGGCTGCAGAGCTAACCAGCAGGCAAGTATTAAGTGCCCGGCCGAACAGATTTCAACCTGCAGGGCACTGGTGACAACGGATGAACAGAGGCAGGCTGGCTCCTGCGACAATGCGGCCAGCACCCAAGGTAAGATGACACAAGGTGAATTCCCCTGGGCTGCCTCACTTTTCCTGCTTTGCAGCTGAATGACTGCAGCCTGGACTCCTCCAGAGTGTGACAGCATTGCTCTGTGGCTCTGCTGGGCTGGGCCTGTCTCGCTCTGCAAGGGGCTTACCCAGCATTCTCACTGGCTCTGACGACAGCCGGGAAGTGCGGGGAGCAGGGCTATTCCTGTTACTGCCCCCCATTTCCCTCATTCCTGAAGGTCACAGCCAGATCATGCTCCTCCTGGCCTGTCCTGTACCACCCTGTTCGTAATCACAGGAACCTGGAGACCAGGAAACCTGGCAGGAAGGTGCCAGAAATCCCAGAAACTGAAAAGCCAAGGTGTGCAAGGAAGGGGCAGAGGAAGTGAGGAGCCGGGTCGGGGGTTTGGGGGAGGAAGAGGAGGTGATGCCAGGTTTCCAGGCATCTGTGAGTCTCCGCAGCTGACTGCTGACTCAGAAGCCCTGCAGCGGCCTTGGCTTGGAGGATGGCGCTGCAGAGATAAGCACACGCAGGACACAGTTATGTTTCTATTTACGACAACAGGCGAAGGTTGTCGCTGAACTTCTGGCTGTCTATGAGAACACTCAATCTCTAGCTCTTAGAAAAGGTAGCTGGATGTTTGTGGAGGAGTAGAAAGGAGAATCATCTTTAAAAATAGAAAAAGAAAATAGAAACAGAACAACAAAATAAGAATTATACCTCAAGAGTATGGCATCAGAGTGAAGCTTCGTTTCCTCCCTAGCCACTGCACCACGGGCATACCAGCAAACATGCAAATCTCTGAATCTTACACAGCAATCAATGAACTGCGCCTTCCCCTAGCCCATTCGGTCAGAGGTATGTCTCATCTAAATAGATCTTGAAAGTGGGCAGAAGGCCAGGCGTGGTGGCTCATACCTGTAAACCTAGCACTTTAGTGGGCCAAGGCAGGAAGAGTTCAAGACGAGCTTGGGCAACAGAGTGAGATCCCGTCTCTTCAAAAAATAAAAAACAAAAAACTTAGCTGGGTGTGGTGGCATGTGCCTGTGGTCCCAACTACATGGGAGGCTGAGGCTCCCCCTAGGAGGTCGAGGCTGCAGTGAACCATGATCATGCCACTGCACTCCAGCCTGGGAGACAGAGCAAGATCCTGTCTCAAGAACCAAAAAAGGAAAACGTAGGTGGAAACACTTGTTTTGGAATGTCATCAGGCAGAAGTTTACATGGAAAATGCACGATGGATTACTGAGCTAATTCCCTTATGTTTTCCCTCAGAAGCCAGGACCCAAGTGGCCAACATGCCTCAGGTTCCCGATCTGTCTTCCTGAAACATGGGCAACTAGCACTGTTTGTTGAAAAGCCTGTCCTTCTCGCACTGAGGAGTCTTGGTATCCTTGTCAGAAATCATCTGACCATAAGCGAGGCATGGGAGGCCAAGGCAGGCAGACTGTCTGATTCTCCCAGGAGCTTGAATCCAGCCTGGGTAACACAGCAAGACCCCATTTCTCTCTCTCTTTTTTTTTTTTTGGTTTCCTTTTTTTAAATTTTCACTGATAACATCTGAGAATTATAAGCTTAAGACCCCATCTCTTAAAAAAAAAATAATTTGACCATATATATTAGGGTATGTTTCTGGGCCCTCTACTGTAGTCCATTGGTTTATATGTCTGTCTTTATGCCAGTACCACACTGTTTTGATTAGTATAGCTTTATAGTAAGTTTTGAAATCAGGAAGCATGAGTCCGCTGGTCTCCTTTATAAGCACTGTTTTGGCTATTC